ACAATATTTGGATCTTAATTTTACTCATTACTTGCTGCAATCCTAGTGCACTTGCTAGTGTTAGATTGCGAACAGCAGTCCCACTAAACTAAAGCAAAAATCCAACAAGGTTTCATGCAATCCACACACTGCAAAGAAATTATCTATCTCACAGGATGGTGTTTCACTCTTCACTCATCAATGTTTCAGGCTAAGTGTTTTCCCTCAATTCATGCATTTTGCCTCATCCTACCATATGCTTGCCCATATTCTCAATCTCCTTTGCCTAGATACAATGAACCACCTATCAAGAGGACTTTGTTGGTTACAAATGTATTAAGTTAGGTTCAGTTTTAATCAAGGAGGATCAAAAGCTCAAGTTGGTTTTTAAGATGAGGGAATTCCTTTAAGTGAATGAGTATGACAACTAAGAGTGGAATGCATAAATGATGCAGCAAGTGAGATTCAAGCACTCTTTCACCATATTTTTCATTTACTTTGCCTTATATGGGATTCTTTTCAACTCAAAATGCCTTGCTATCTTTTTCTTTTTCTTTTTCTTTCTTTTTCATTCATTCATCATTTTTTATGGACTTTGACAATCATTCTCTTCTTCAATTTCAAACATTTTTTTTATTTTTTTTTTACATGTATTATTAACATGTATGATGTTCACTACCCCAAACTTAAGATTTTGCTTGTCCTCAAGCAACTATTGTCATAATCATCACCCCAAACTTAGTTTCTTGCATTCACTCTTGATGTAACTCAAAAGAAATTCCTTTCTTAAGGTAAGAAAAATAGTTTTGCAAACTAAGTTTGGCAAAAATCATAGTTTTGGAATAAGGTAATTAGGTACAAGGGTGTTCTAGGGTGGATGGGTGTGGGCAAAGAAGGCCTCAATCATTTAGATGAAAAATTGCACAATGCATATTCGATTAAGAAATAGGGTGAGTTCTAGAGGATAGATGCAACAGTACATGTTATAGTGCACATAGAAAAGAAATTAAAGGCTCAATTCTCTACCATGGTAAAGGTGATAATTACTTAACAACATGTGATCACAGTTCACCTTACAAGAAAATATATGCTGCATGGTAGGAATAATAATATTCAAAAACAGAGAATGATTGAGTTGAATGGGAAGTGTAATCAGAATATATCTATGGAATTGCAAAACTAGACCAAATTAAAAGGGAGATAAGGAAAAGATTTTTGTATTTTCATTTAACACTGTGCAAGAAAATTAGACTAAGAACAACGGAAACAGAGGCAAAGAGATCACCCCCCCTTTCATAGAAAGTAGAATCACAACTCAGGGGGTCAAATTCATGCTCCTCTTGATGGGACTGAGGACATTTTTTGCACAAATATACACAGAATTCAGTATAGGGAGCAAATATAAAGCCAGAAAATGGAATAGATATATATAAGTAAAAATGCCAGAAATGTTCAGATTAAGAGTGACAATACGTAAACAAAGCAGTAAAGATGGAAACAGAAATATGCAATATTTACAAGGAAATGGTGGTTAGCAGCAAATACAGGGAAATAGCAGAAAGTAAGTGAAAAGTGAGTGCAGTGAAAAAGAACTAAGACTAAATAGCATCTTTATCAGAGCTGGAAAAGGCAGAGTCATCATCATCATCATCTTCTGCTGCTGCTAGGAGGTCTTCATTTGAGGCACTGGAGCTACTTTCATTGGCTTCAGCTCTGACAGGGGCAATAGAAGGAAAAGGCAGAAGGTCACTCTGGACAGCTGCTTGTAGGTAAGGGGCATTGAAAGTAGGGGCATCGTAAAGCTACATGGTAGTCATCCCCAGCTTCTTCCCTATGTTTAACAGCATCGTATCCATAAGTGTCATGAGGGCCTTCTGTCCAGCATGAATGGAGTCCTACCTCAAAGCAAGCTGCTTCATCTACTCCCTCATCCTCATTGGAGTATCCCCCTGTAGTCAGCTGGTAGGGATAGTCCTGGGTTAGCAGTCTTTTTGGGTTTGAAGAAGTCCTTCACCATTGTTGCAGAAATACGAGGGGCTACTCTGATTTTCTGTAGGTAGTCTCCAAAATCTACCCCAACATCTTGGCATAGCATGGTGATCATGGATGGAAAACCCATGGAATCTCTGCTCCTGCTCAAGATGTCCATGATGGCACTGCTAAATATTGATTGTAGTCTAATTTTGTTTTAATCTGATTTGTATATGCGTGGTAAAAACAAGAATAAATTAATTCTGGTTTTGATCCTGACATAGACATAACTTTGAGAAGATTGAGAAAAGAGTCTATAGCAGAAAAAGTCATAGGGAGTGATAGTGAATTAGAAGCTATCCATTCTCCAGAATTTCAGAGTAATCCTAGAGTGAAAAGAACACCTACACCTTTGAGACAACCAAATCCAACAATAGAAATGGCAGAGCAAAACAGAATTAGAACATTAGGGGACTATGCTATTCCTAACATGCAAGGTTTTAACTCTTCTATAATTAGGCCAACTATTCAAGCCAACCATTTTGAGATTAAACCTGCCATACTACACTTAGTCCAATAGGATCAGTTTTCTAGTGGAAATTCTGATGATCCTAACATACATATTTCAAATTTTCTGAAGTTATATGACACCATAAGAATGAATGGAGTTAGTGAAGAAGTTATCAGATTGAGATTATTTCCTTTTTCCTTGAGAGATAAAGCAAAATGCTGGTTACAAGCTCAACCACAAGGAAGCATCACAACCTGGACAGAACTTGTGAATAAGTTTCTAACTAAGTACTTCCCTCCATCCAAAGCTGCTAAGTTGAGAGGAGAAATTACATCTTTTGTGCAACAAGAAGTAGAATCATTGTATAAAGCTTGGGAAAGATACAAAGAATTACTTAGAAGGTGTCCACATCATTGTATTCCAGATTGGATGCAATTGGAAACTTTTTATAATGGGATGAATGCAGCAACAAGAACAATGGTTGATGCTGCTGCTGGAGGTTCATTAAATACAAAGTCCTTGGAAGAAGCTCAGAGAATTATTGAGATGATGGCATCTTCAATGTATCAGAATTCAAACTCAAGAAATCAAGGAAGAAACTCTGGTCATGAAGCTAAAGTTCTGGAAACTTTTCTTGCACAGAATCAGCTACAAAATCAAATGTTTTCAGAACAATTAGCTGCCTTAACTCAACAAATCAGCAATCTGCAAACAGGGAGTATGCCTACCAGTCAGTTAAGTTGTGATTTTTGTGGAGGAAACCATGTAAATGGTGCATGTAAGGCATCTACAAGAGAACCACAAGAGCAAGTGAATTATATGAATAATTTTCAGAGACAACAGCCATCATATCCCCTTGGATTTCAATTTTCGAATAATAGAACTCAGCAGTATTCTAATTGGAATAATCAATATTCTGCTGCAAATAATTCTAACTCAAATTTGCCTTTTTCTAATGCAGGTCCAGCAACACAACAGCCTTATTTTCAGAGGAATTCATCCACTCAACCTCAAGGAAATCAGAAATTTTCCAAGCCCATGAATGAGAGGTTGACTAAGATGGAAGAAACTATGTTGCAATTCATGAAGGTGACTCAAACAAGCTTCAAGAACCAAGAAGCTTCCATGAAGAAACTGGAAACACAAATCGGAAAATTAGCTGAACAACTATCCAGCAGGGATGAGGGAAGATTTCCAAGCAATACAGTAATCAATCCTAAAGAGCAATGTCAAGCGATAACTACAAGGAGTGGAGCTGTAGTTGCAAGTCCTAAACCAGCAGAAAAGAAAGTAAATGATGCAATAGAGAGAAAAATTGAACAAGATCTGCAACAAGGAAATTTTAAGCTATTGAAGAAAGACCATTCAGAAGAAAAAGTAGATGTTCCTATGAATTCTGAGAGGAAAACCAAAAAGCAACTCTTTGAGGAAGCTTGTAAGGCAATATATCCAAAAAAATACAAGAGGCTACCCTATCCTCAAAGAGTCCAAAATCCCAAACAAGAGGAACAATTTGAAAGGTTTATGAATGTCTTTAAGAAATTACAAATTAACATTCCTTTTGCAGAAGCTTTGGAGCAAATGCCTTCATATGCAAAGTTTATGGAAGAGTTACTTTCCAGAAAAAGGAAGCTAGAGCATGATAAAACAGTACCTTTGACAGAGGAGTGCAGTGCCATTCTTAAGAGAAAACTTTCTCAAAAGCTGAAAGATCCTAGATCATTTAGCATTCCTTGTGAAATAGGAAACTGCACTGTGGGAAAAGCATTGTGTGACTTGGGAGCAAGCATAAATCTGATGCCATTGGCTATTCTGCAGAAACTTGGCATAGAGAAAGTGAAGCCCACCAACATTACATTGCAGCTAGCTGATAGATCATACACTTATCCATATGGAGTTGTTGAAGATTTATTACTTAAAGTTGATAAGTTCATTTTTCCTGCAGATTTTGTAATTCTGGACATGGAAGTGGATTCTAACATTCCTTTGATCCTAGGAAGGCCATTTCTTGCAACCGGAAGAGCCTTAATAGATGTGCAGAAAGGTGAACTTATGCTTCAAGTTCAAGATGAGAAAGTAGTGTTTAATATGTTTGAAGCTTTAAAATATCCAATTGAAGATAATACATGTATGAAGGTAGATATATTGGATGCTTTTATTACACAACACCATATTAATGAAATTGATGAACTTGCTGTGTTATAAGAAATAATATCTGCAGGGAATAACAAATCTGAACTTCTGCATGAAGAATACATCATGGAAGTGCAGCAGCAATTGGAAGCTTTGCCAATTCAAAAATCTGCAGAAAATTCAGTAACGGAAGAGCTGAAGAAGGGTGATAAAAAAAAAAAGAAAAGCAAAAGCTAGAGTTGAAACAGCTTCCTTCCCACCTGCGGTATGCATTTCTGGATGAGAAACATGAAAATCCAGTCATCATCAATAATGAACTTAAGGAAGAACAAGAGGAAAAATCTGCAGAAAATTCAGTAACGGAAGAGCTGAAGAAGGGTGATTAAAAAAAAAAGAAAAGCAAAAGCTAGAGTTGAAACAGCTTCCTTCCCACCTGCGGTGTGCATTTCTGGATGAGAAACATGAAAATCCAATCATCATCAATAATTAATTGTCAACTTATTCAACTTGCGATAATCAACACATAATCTAGAACTCCCGTCCTTCTTTTTCACTAAAAGAACTGGTGCTCCCCAAGGTGATACACTCGGCCTAATCATCTGTTTCCGCATTAGATCCTCGATCTGCTTCTTAAGCTCCATCAACTCTTTCGGCGCCATTCTGTAAGGTGCTACAGACACTGGCTCAGCTCCAGGAATCAAATCTATAGAAAACTCCACCTCTCTACGTGGAGGTATTCTAGGAATATCCTCTGGAAAAATCTCAGGGAACTCTCGTACTATTGGTATTGACTGAAGGCTTTGCTCCACTTCTGCATTCATAACTCCCAACAAAACAAAACAACATACTCCCTCACCTAAGGATGTTTCTACTTGGCGAGTAGAAATTAATTCCACACAGCCTTGCTGTTCAGGAAAGACTAAACATCTCTGGCCACAATCAATTAGCACACGATTGGCAGTTAGGCAATTCATACCCAGGATTACATCTAACCCTGACATCGGGATACAAATAAGGTTTACTTTGTACTTTCGTCCCTCAATTACTATGGGGCACCTAACACAAACTCTCAAAGTCTTAATCGAACTTAAAGTAGGTGTCGATACTACCAATTCACATCCTAGATCGCTCACTGGTAACCCTAAGGTTCTCACACAAATGTCCACAATAAAAGAGTGCGTGGCTCCAGAATCAAACAATATAGAAAGAGAAGTACCTGCCACTACCGCTGTCCCCTGAACGAGATCCGTCGCCTGAGCTGCCTCTGATGCAGAAGTAGTGAATACACGTCCCTCTACTCTCGATCTGGTTGCCGTCGGAGCCTTAGTCATTTTAGGCTTGATGAATTCACTTTTTATTATATTTTTACTTGCCTTTTTGGTGCTCCTTAATAGAAAAAATGGACTTAGATAGTGCAAATAATATAGAAATCACATTTTGAGTAAATATCATAGGTTTATTAATTTTTGGTTAATTTGCATTTAATTACATAGATATAGATTGCAATTTTAATTATCTTAATAATTTTGCAGAGTCCCCAAGTTAATTTTTAGAAATCTTAGCCCTTGGATGAAAGTTGCCCCCAAAGTAGCCACTTTTAGGAGTAAAAGTGGCAACTACAGCAAGTCTGGGCATTCAAGGTTCCAAAGTAGCTACTATCAAGCCCAAAAGTGGCAACTCCAGAAGCTCCAGGGACGCCAAATTTGAAGCATTTTTGCGCGTGGCCACTATTGGCTCTCATAGTAGCCACGCGAGCCAAAGTAGCCACTTTCAGCACAAATAGTGGCAACTTCAGAAGCTCCAGGACGCTAATTTTGAAGCATTCCTGTGCGTGGCCACTATTGGCTCTCATAGTAGCCACGCGCACCAAAGTAGCCACTTTCAGCACAAATAGTGGCAACTCCAGAGAAGTGGCAACCCTTCCATCCTGCGCGTGGACACTTTCAAGGCCGAGAGTGGACACTTTCAAAGGCAAAAGTGAACACTTTGGTGACATGTCATCCACTATAAATAGATTTTAGGAATTAGGGTACGGGACTTTTGACACTTTACACAATTTTTCTTTGCCAAATTGGGATAATTTCTTACGACATTGGAGTCTTGGGTGACAGCCAAGGGTCCTCTATAGGTTTTAATTTCCAATTTCTCTTTTGATTTTTGTTGAATTTACATTAATGATGTTTCGTTCTTGCATTTCTTTCTCTCATTTGTGAAGCCCATCCATATGGAGGGCTAAACTTTCTTGTAATTCCTAGTCAATGCACATGAATCTTGAATTCTTGGGGTTTATTGCAATACAAATCTTTCTTTCCTTGAATTTATTAACCCCAATATCTGAATGAAATGGAATTTGCATGAAGGGAACATTGCTTAATGAACCCTAATTTACCTAACGAAATTCTAAATCAAAATTGCTTAATTTTGATTAATCCTTGAGGTTGCTTAATCTTAGGGATAGAGATTGGAGCCCATTAAGATGCTTAATTTTAATTGGGATGTTAAAGTTAGCCTTCGCTTGTTAGATTAACTTAATTCAAGGAGAAGAAAGGGGATTATTGAATCATTTGAAAGAATAATGATGGAACTCATTGCTTGACTAGGGATTACTCATTTTAATTGATTGAATTTCATTAAATTTACATTTCGTTCTTGATTAAAATCCAGAAATTGACAAACCTCCCCCCAATTTACTTGCTTTAAAATACATGTTTACACTTGTTCGATGTATGTTCCCAACCAAAAATTCCTTGGAGACGACCTAGGATAACACCCTAGTACTGTATTCATTTCTTTGCATATTTGATGAGGATTAACGACAATCTTTTGCATGACGAGTAGCTAAATTCGTTTCATCAAATTGGCGCCGTAGCTGGGGAATTTTTGGTGCTGAACTTATGTTGAAAATGCTTGGTACTCTATTTTTGTGTCTTGCATGTTAGTGTGTTTTATTTCATTTTGAGTTTTTGTGTTGTGTTGAAAGTCATATGAATTTTGTGATCTATTTCTGCATTGTTGTTGCATGATTTTCTGCATCATTTCCTTCATTCAAGTGTTGCAACTTATCAATTACTCACTTTCAATTTTCTGCACTCATTTTGCTACATATTTCTCTGTTTTCTGCACTTTTATTGCATAATTCTGCAGAATTCTGCAAAGAGATTTTAAACTGTTCTTGTTATTTCATTTACTCAATTTGCTTTCAATTTAGTTAGTTAATATCTAGTGCATGACCCAATCAAACCCTGGGGATTTGTATCCATTAGACCAGGAGATTCATAGGACTTTTCATAGGAACATTAGGACACATAGGGATCACTCTAAACACTCTGAACCATCATCATCTCCTACTGCATCTTTGCAATTAGTGACACCAATTTCTGTTTACTCTTCTAAATTTTCACTTGACTCTAGTTTTGGAGCAATGGCAGGTGATTAGAGGACTCTTAAGGAGCTAGCTGCACCGGATGTCACATACCAAACATTGTGCATCCAATATCCAGATGTGGACGCCCCTTTTGTTTTGAAAACTGGATTAATTCACCTTCTACCTAAATTTCATGGTTTTGCAGGTGAAGACCCTCACAAACACTTCAAGGAGTTTCACATTGTATGTTCCACCATGAGACCTCAAGGTGTTTCGGAGGAGCATGTCAAATTGAAGGCATTTCCATTCTCTCTTATGGATTTGGCTAAAGACTGGTTGTATTATCTTCCACCTGGCTCTATTACAAGTTGGGACACCCTCAAGAGATTGTTCCTGGAAAAATTTTTCCCTGCCTCAATAAGAAAGGAAATATGTGGTATTAGGCAGCTGGAAAGGGAAAGTTTGTATGAATATTGGGAGCGTTTCAAGAGACTTTGTGCTAGCTGCCCCCATCATCAGATAAGTGACCAGCTCCTAATCCAATACTTCTATAAGGGCTTACACCCAATGGATAGGAGCATGATCGACGCAGCTAGTGAGGGAGCCCTAGTTGACAAAACTCCCGCTGCCGCTAGAAACCTCATTGAAAATATAGCAGCTAACTCTCAACAGTTTGCTACAAGGCAAAATTCTCTCATGTCTAGGAGTGTTAATGAAATTCAAACTTCAGACTCACACAAGCTGGAGCATAAGCTAGATGAGTTGGCTTCTATGGTGAAACAGTTGGCATCCATCCAAAAGAATTCTGCTGCATATACACCTCCACCTCCATCCATTCCAGCAATGCTTTATGGGATTTGTTCATCTACGGATCACTTCACTGATAGTTGCCCCACATTGCAAGAAACTGAATCTTCGGAAGGTAATCCTCAAGCTTATGCTACTAATATTTACGCTAATAAATTCCCTTTTCAGCAGCCGCAGCAACAACAAAGGTAGGATTTATCTTCCAATAGATATAATCCCGGTTGGAGGAACCATCCTAACTTAAGGTCGGGAGGAAATGCACAGCATCAAGGCTCTAGCCAACCATCCAACAACCATTTTGAACCGCATCAAGCTGGACAAAGCAAGCCATATTCAGCCTAACAACATCACCATCCATCATCTTCATCTCAACAACACCATGAAACATCCCCTTCACTAGCTCCTGCACCTCAAAAGAGTGAGTCATCTTTGGAAGACCTTGTGAAGCAACTCACCATGAGTAATCTCAATTTCCAGCAACAGAGTCAGGCCTTCCAACAACAGACTCAAGCAAGTATCAAGACCTTGGAGAATCAAATGGGTCAACTTACTTCATCCCTAAATCAACTTCAATCTCAAGGTTCAGGCAATCTCCCTGCACAAACTGTAACAAACCCAAAGAATGTGAGTGCCATTACCTTGAGATCTGGTAAGGTGATGCAAGAGCCAGAAATGCCTAAGAAGAAGGATCCTAGTCGCACTTTAGCTGCAGAAGGTGAAGGAGGAGAGATCAAGAGTCAAGAGCAGCCTGCACCTATGCCCACACCATGTCAACCAAAAGTGGTAGACAAAGAGGAGAGGTCCATTCCTATTCCCTTCCCTCAAAGAATGGTTCATCCCACCAAGAAGCAAGAAGAGGTTGATAAAGAAATTCTGGATACTTTCAGAAAAGTTGAAGTCAATATCCCCTTGTTAGATGCTATCAAGCAAATCCCAAAGTACGCCAAATTTCTTAAGGACTTGTGCACTCATAGAAGGCGGCTAAAGGGTAATGAAAGAGTGAACATGGGGAGGAATGTATCAGCTCTTTTTGAGAGGCAGAAAACTTCCATGCCTGAGAAATGCAAAGATCCAGGGACGTTTACTATTCCCTGCATTATAGGCAACAATAGGATAGATAATGCCATGCTTGATTTAGGTGCGTCTATTAATGTTATGCCTTTATCTATCTTCACATCTTTGTCTCTTGGACCATTACAGCCCACAGGTGTCATCATCTAGCTAGCAAACAGGAGCACAGCACATCCAGCTGGACTTGTGGAGGATGTGTTAGTGAGGGTGAATGACCTTATTTTTCCAGCTGATTTTTACATACTTGACATGAAAGAGTCATTGGATAGTGTTGCACTAATCATTTTAGGAAGACCGTTCTTAAAGACTGCGAGAACGAAGATTGATGTGCATGCCGGATCACTTACTATGGAGTTTGGAGACAGTGTTGTCCGCTTTAACATACTGGATGCTATGAAGCACCCAAATGAAGAACACTCTATTTTCCACATTAACCATCTTGATAAATCAATAGATGAAAATTTGTCTGAATTTCTAGGAGGAGACTCTCTCCTTAATTTTTTTGATTGTGTGGATACTTCCAATTGTGAATTGTGTAATAGTTCTTCTCTGTGTGACATTTGTGCTGAGATTTCTGGTTATTTGAATGAAAGTTCTACTACTTTCAACGTTGATGCACCTAAAAATTCCATAGGATTGGAATGTGATGTATTGAGTACAAGTACAGTTGAATCTAACGCCTTTGGTTTGAATATTGCAGAGACTTTGTCAAATGAAAGTGCCAAATCACTTCCTTCTGTGGAGCAACCTCCCACATTAGAGTTGAAGCCCCTACCAGAACATTCTGAGAAGCTCCCGGTCATTATTTCCACCAAGCTTGAAGGAGATCAAGAGAAGATATTGTTGGAAGTAATTAAAAGGCACAAGAGATCTATTGGATGGACTTTAGCTAACATTCCTGGTATTAGCCCTCTCCTGTGCATGCACAAAATTCTGTTGAAAGGGGGGACTAAACTAGTGAAGCAACTTCAGAGGAAAAGAAAAAGAAAGAGGAAGAGGAAAAGGAAGACACAACTCCAAGAACTAGAAGCGCTGCACTTAGGAGCATATGAAGACTCAAGAACCTACAAGGATAGAACCAAGCAGTAT